TGACATTTGTAAAGTTTTTATCTCAAAAACTGCCAAAGGGGGGTTTTGTGGAATTTACACGTAAATAAAATGTCGAGGAAATAGGAGTTATTATCATAGTCAGATTGAGTTGTACTTCAACAATAGAAATGGGAACTGCACAATGTTGCAAACATATTTGAGATAGTTAATGTGTTTCGGTTACAAATTTGAGCCCAAACCTGTGTCGGGCTTTCCTATCCATTGTTTGGCTCAGGTCTAGAATTGTTACTTGAGCCAGTCTAGGACAGGTTTTACTCGACCAGTCTCAAATATCCAATAGAAAAAGTGATGTCAAAGAGTCGAGAGAAGAGAGATCCATGTCAGCATAAAAAAAATCTTTTGAAGTTCGTGATATATAAGCTGAATAGTTGACAAGGCTATGCGATATGATCATAGTTACTAGATTTTGAGTAATAAGAAGAAAGACGAGGAAGATATAAACTTACGATATGAAATCATGCGCATTTGCTGCCTTCGCAGCCTCCACAATCTCCTCTTCACCTGCTTCTGGCTTCCCAAAAGCTATATTCTCCCGAACACTGCCTGAAAATATAACCGGCTCTTGGCTAACAAGAGCAGTGAATCCTCGATACCAAATAACGTCTAACGCTCTTATGTCCATCCCATCAATTCTAACAACACCTCTTTCAACGTCATAGAACCTCTGAATCAATCCAATGACTGTTGATTTCCCACACCCACTCATCCCGACTAGTCCAATGCTCGAGCCAGCCTTCACTTCTAGGCTAAATTGTCGCAGCACTAAACACTGTGGTCGACTTGGGTATGCGAAGTCTACTCTCTTGATCTCGATCCTCCCTTGTACTTTTCGTAACTTGTTCTCGCTAGTATCACTCACCTGCACAATCAAATGAATCACTGTGATATAATGGACATATATAGATACAGAGATCTTAAAGCGACTCTTAGTCAATGTGATGATTCCTAATTTAACAACACAGAGTTGAGTAACAACAAATTGAATATAGCTAGTAGAGACAGAGAGAACAATGCACACAAATATAACATGGTTCGATCAATATGTTGACCTATGTCCACTCACGAAGTTATAAAGAATCGATTAGGAAAAGAGAACCTTGCCATAGGAAAAACCCTCTCTCTCTCTCTCTCACACACACACACATCATCATCATCATCATCATCCCTAAACATGCCCTTTACAGCGAGTCAAAACCTCTCAGATTTTCATATAGGTTAGCTACCAAACAAAGGGATAAATGAAATAGATGAACCAATGGTTGGTGAAAAATTCAGCCTAATCTATTTCGCATGAAGAAAATACGTGAACTAGTAGAAACGAAAAAGTTTAGATTTTTTTTGTCATTATTCAAGTGATTTAACCAAGTGAAAGAAACTTACATTAGAAGAACGAGGGATTAGGCTGTTCCTGTCCAACATCTCAAACACAGAAGCAACCGCTGTTGCTCCTTTAGCAAGATCTGAAGTCATGCTTCCCGCTTCAGCAATTACCTTCCCTGTGCTCACTAAGATGAAGAAGGTCTTAAAAACATCCCCGGCTGATATCTCTCCGGCCTCAGCCAGTTTCCCTCCATACCAGAAATCTAGTCCCCATGACATAAAGGATAAGCAAGGAGAGCATCCCATTGCAATCCCTGCCACCCATGATTTCTTCCTCGCTGCCCTTAATGGATCCTCCTGAGCTTCTTCAAATAGCTGAAGAACTTTCCCCGCACATCCAAATGCAGTAACCATTTTGTGATTGTAAACAGCCTCTACCGCGATCTGCGTGCTTAGATTCTGAGCTCTAGCTAATTCTACTGAAACATTAGACAGAACAACTTTTTTAGCATAGTAGCATAAGATGGTCAATGGTTGGATAGCTATCATGACCAATGCAAGTTTCCACGCAACAACTAGCCCCATCGTCATGGCGATGATAAGTCCTGATGCTGTTTGTACTATTAAAGATACACGATCTGCAACAAGAGTCTTAACCAGAGCGGCTTCATTGCTGAGCCTCGAACACAATGCACCACTCGAGTTCTGCCCTTCATCGAACCAGGCAGGTTCAAATGTTAGGATTTTGTCAAGAACTTGGAGTCTGATCCTTCTGGTTAGATGCTCGCCCATGTAAGCAAAATTGTAATGCTGGGAGAGATTAGTGAGGATGGAAACAAGAGAAAGTAAGGTGAAAATTAGAGAGTAACGATGGATTATGGCTTGCATTTTGTTGTGGTCTTGGAGATAGAATGCTGCAATCATGCCACCAATTGTGAAGGCATAGACTGGTTGTATTGAACCAAAGATTATTGCTGAGAGGCTACCGGTTAGAGCCTGCTTCCACTCTGTTGAGTTCATGGAGAGAAGCCTGAAGAAGGATGGGGCAGGATGGGAGATGATTGGTTGATCTTCATTTGATACGAATGAGGCTGGACTGGCTTTGGTCAGGCTAAGACGGCTTGCACTGCTACACACTGCTGAAGATGGCCTGTATGAGTCAAGAGCAGGTTCTGGATCCATGGAACTTGCTAGTCTTTGAAGTCTTACAAGTCTCGAGTAGTGACTGTTACTGTTTCTGATGAGATCATCATGAGCACCAATCTCTACGATTGTGCCACCATCAACAACTGCAATCTGATCTGCACTCTTGATTGTGGAGAGCTTGTGAGCTACAACCTAATGACAAGTCACAATCAATTGTCGTAGTAGAGAACCGTGCTAAATGCTAAATTTAAGTTCCTTTAGCATCCATATTTATTAAGTGAGATTTCCCAGATACCAAGAACTTGATTTGGATATTATTGATAAAAAGGAAAAATAAGCTAGCAGAAAATGCAGGATTGAGCTAAATTTGTTATATAAACGTGACGGGACTACATTAGAATGAAACTTTAATAAATATAGTTCAAGGATACTCCTTAGACTTGCAGTAAAGACGAGGGAATAGAATGAAAATGAGTTGTCTATACCAATGTTGTTCTGCCGATAGAAGCTTGATCAAGGGCATTCTGCACAAGCTTTTCTGATTCAGAGTCAAGGGCACTAGTGGCCTCATCAAGGAGAAGGATTATAGGGTTCTTGATGATGGCTCTTGCAATTGCAATTCTCTGTTTCTGCCCACCTGATAGTAACGATCCACGTTCCCCTACCTGCCAGTAGATTTTGGGAGATACACTGTTATGCGTTATGTTTGAACCTTATTAGTTAAGAACTTGTAGCTGTTGCAACAACTGAAATGATATGGTTATACAAATTTCATAGTTACCTTTGTATCGTATCCCTCAGGAAGCTGTCTTATGAAATTGTGGGCATTCGCAGTCATTGCTGCTGCGTAAATCTCATCCATGGTAGCATCAGGCTTCCCTAGAACAATGTTCTCCTTTATCGATGTCCCAAACAGTCCATGATCTTGACTCACAAGCCCCATCTTCTCCCGAATCCAATTCAATTTTATCTTCTTAATATCAACACCATCAATTTTCACTGCACCCTCACCCACATCATAGAAACGCTGCAGCAATGCAATGACAGTGGACTTCCCACTTCCACTGGTGCCTACAAGTGCAACACTCTGTCCTGCAGGAATCCTGAGGTTAAATTCCTTAAGGATCATTGACTGAGGCCTCGATGGGTAAGAGAAGTTGATGCTCTCAAATTTGACTTCACCCTGAATGTTATCGAGTATCAGGCCCTTTGCGTCTTCTGCATTGATCTCTGGTGTTCGACTGATTCTCTCTAGGATACAATTTGCAGCTACTGATGCTTCAGCAAAGTGTTTCACCTCTGGGAGTGCTCTTCCAAGAGATCTGGGTCACATTATCTTTACACATTTAACAGTTGGGCAGAAATAATAACAATCTATTATAGTATAGGAATAAATATTACAAAATTTTATGTGCAATAATAATATAGTATATCCAATATATCATTGATTTGTTCTTTAATTTGGATTTTGCATTATCGGTGCATAACTATATGTTGTCTGGAGTTCATATTCTTGAGGAATTTGCATAGGATCTTAACAGTTGTATGGCTAATGAGCCAGAGGCCTCAATCTTTTCTTATAACTCCATCGATCTTGCTTGACATATTTGTTGGCTCATGATACAAATAGCTTGAACTTAAAAATGGTATGCAATAACTAATTCTCTATCTATTTCGATCTTTTTTTATTATTTTTCACACCTCATCTACAAATAGGAATTTTCTAGCTCCTCAGCTGAATGATTTGTTTAACAAAAAAAAAGTCCTTGGCAGCCTTTTTAAATTAGAAACATCCTTCAGACACTAGCCCCAATCTCGATCGAGAAAGATGCTGATGATAAAGCTGATCAATTTTGCTTCATTTGGTCCAAAACGGCTACTTAACTAATTGTTAGTATCTATTCACAAAGGCCATAATATTTCTACATAGGTCCAATAAAAGTCCAGGTGTTCACGATGACCCTACATCAATCATCGCCATTATCATTTAACCTTCTAAATCAAAATGGGTTGCTCCAAGAAAATAATGTAAGAGAATTTTATGATTGGCTGAACTTCTATCAGCCAAACCCTCTATATCGGTGTCAAATTTCGGATAAATAAAACTATAGATAGGAGAGATGTTATATAACTTAGAAGGCAAGCTGAGATTAGCCAAGGCATAACTCTCCAAGTTGTCTCCTAGTGTAAGAGACTATAAGAAGGAGAAGGACCGTAAATATGCTAAAGAAATTATATTCAACATTAAGGCACAAGTAAAGGCTAAGAACTCTTAACAGTCTCTAATCATAGCACCAAAGCCCTGACGTTGTGGTGACGGTTGAGGATTATATATTTACATTCTAAACATGCCCCCACAAGTTGAGGGCCATTTTATAGCTCAAAACCTAGACTCACACAGCGGTATCAAAACTTTTAAAATCCGCACTTAATTCACGGCCAATAGGATTTGAACCTAGGTGCTCTGATACCAGCTTAAAGCCTCTAACAATTACACTAAAAGTCCAAAGTTGTGGTGATGGTTGAGGGTTATACATATATATTCTAACAAGAACAACAAAGAATATTATGAAAATAATAGAGTAGTATTTAGTTTTATATTCTAACATGCCCCTGCAGGGTGAGTGCCATGTGTCGAAACCTGGACTCAGGCAGAGATATCATTTTTTTAAGTCGCTTTAAATTCATGGAGGGGGATTGGACTTGGGTTGCTCTAATGCCAAAGTGACTTGACCTCGAAGTGGGTCAATCCTCTTTCTTAATGGATAGAAAAACAATTTAGAATTACAAGTACTCCCAATGTGGAAGTAACACGACTCACCTCTAGACTCAACACAGCTTGACTCTAAACTAAATATCGCTCTGATAGATATATTATAACCCGTAACATCAAAGGATATAACCCTTCAATCCAAACTGCTAAGAAAAATGTAATGAAAACTAATGTTGTACGAAAATATAATATTATTGGTGCTAATCTCAACATAAATACCATTGTCTTTTTCAACATGAATTAATTCACTGGCAACAGCTTGCTTTTCTTGTTTATACTAACCATGTAGAGAGAGAGATACCTATAAATAGGTAAATACATATATATAGGACATAAATGACCAGCAGGCAGTTAAACATGTATACCATTATTCCAACAAATATCACATTATTGAGCATGGAAAAGGGTGGCAATAAACTACTTACAGTCCGCCCAAGACAAAAGAAACCCCAGCTGCGTAAATTCTTCCTCCACTCTCCCCATAGTGTATGACAAGCCTACTACCGTACCAAGCAAGGAAACCCCATATAGCAAAAGAAAGCCCAGTGCTTCCTACTGCCAGCCCCTTCGCTATCCCTTTCTTGATGCCAAGCTTCACAGTCTTATCCAAAATGACTGCATACTTCTCCACAATGCTTTTCTCTGCGGTAAAGGAATAGACTGTTTTGATGGAGCTCAGAGCCTGAGCCACTATAGCATTTGCTTTCAAATACTCTCCATGAGACTTGCGAGAAAGTCGGACAAGGGACTTTCCATATATGATTCCAGGGATGATTAGTAGTAGGACGAGGGGGAAGGCTACTAGAGAGAGCCTCCATGAGAAGTAAGCAGAAAATACTAGTCCTGAGACGAAACTTGAGGTGTTCATCAGAAATATTGGCACCTGAAGGGAAAAGATTGAGGCATTTTTTAAACTGTCATATTCATATATTTAGAACTCAGTTTTAATATTTTAAGTACTCAGTGTGTGAAATGAACCATACAATTCTTGATGCATATAAATGATTGCATGGATATACTAGAATAGTTGAATGATTAGAACCCACCAACAAAAAGATAAGGTAGTAATACTAGGAAATATCTTCTTGTTTTTAACTATTCCAAGTATTCTTCAGTGAATTAACTAGGGTTAGCAACTTAGCCAAAAGGGCAAAGAGAAAATGATTCCATAAATATCCTTCCCTATCAAAATTCTACACTCCAACTTGGGAGGGAAAATATACTCAGCCCATGTGCTACATAGAAAAATCATATAAAAATTACGCTGGTGAGTAAAGTAAGAGGACATGCTTCAATGTTATCTTAGATAGTTGAAATTCCAAAACCCAGTATTCTTTTATCCATATTTTAAACATGAGATTAAGACCTTTCAGGTCCTTTCAGAAACTAACACATGGACCTTTAATAACTGAAATTCTCTTAGGATAGATTCTCTCAAAGTTGGACTCACCACTTGTCTATCTTTTGCATTAAAATGATTTTCAATGGTTAACCCCACTTAATCTAGTGAGACTCACCTTACTAGTCACATCAAAATGTGTGGATCTAACCACTCTATTTCTTGATAGCTCATTTAGCAAAATAAATCATCATCTTATACCTATACATATATATATATATATATATATATATATATATATATATATGAGTAAGAATACCTATCAACTTAAGTTGATTGTCCACTCAAACTTCTTGACGCACGTCGATTATTAATATAAAATCTTTTCATATGCATGCTAAGATCCCTAAGCATATGAGTGGCTAAAAGTTTTGTGGTACAACCTTTTTGCTATCCAACTTAGTTGCACACAAATTTTGCCTCTATATATATATATATAGAGAGAGAGAGAGAGAAAATTATGTCAATTTAAGTGGCACCATCTACCAAAGTTTTCTATCGATTGATTGAACCTAGAGTCCGTGGCATTCATAATATCGAAAGAGAACTTTTCGAATCAATGGATAGAAACTTTGTGGATGGTCCACTTAAGTTGACATAAGTTCTCTCTCTCTATATATATATCTATCTATCTCTATCTATCTATATATATATATATATTATATATATAATATATATATATTGCAATGCGAAAGGCAGATAAGAATAGAAAAATGTTTTGTCTAAGATGGATATCAAATGAGTAAATACAAGGGTCTCAGTAGCCAGCTCAATTAATGATGATCTTAAGCGTTTGAAATCACCTGTGTTATTTTGACTTGTGAACCTGTTTTTAAGGGTAACCAAACCAAATTTTCTTCACTAATTGAATAAGTTTTTCAATAATTCAACTAACTCGAACTTTAAAAAAGACTACCTGATAAAAGAAAGGATAAAGAAGAAGAAGAAGAAGAAGAAGTTGTTTTTAGCTGAAATAGAGATTATCGCCACTAAATATGACTTTCGATAAGAATTTATTAAATTGGTACTAGAAGATAGTTGCTGCTGTCTTTTTTATTCTTGAATAAAATGTAGTTTCTTAGCAGGTCATATATATATATATATTACCTTCTCACTTAGAACCTCCTGTAAGACTGCAGTGTCCTTTGATATACTATTAATGATCTCTGAAGTAGTTGCTTCCTGAGAATCAAAAAAACCAACCTCCTGCCTAAGAACAGCCTCCAAATACTTATATCTAATCCTCAGCACCTGCCTCTCACTTGTCCTACTCCAACAATAACCCTCTGCAGTCAAAAACCATTTCCATCAAAAAACCAAAATAAATGCTATTCAAACTACACAAACAAGAACTTCTACGGAAATCATTAGTACCCAAAAAGGCCAACCCCAAGACTGCCAATCCAGTATAGACAAAATACAGACAGTACTGCAGGAAGAAGAAAACAAATACTAGTTAAACCAGAACTCCGTCGAAAGACAATCAACTCTTAACATTATCACTACAGATAATAAAAACTTTCAAACCTTCGCGACCTCGGGCATGAAAACTCCGTTGTCCTGCTGGTGCTGGACCTGCAATCCATGCCCCAGGCTGTTCATGACACCGCTGGCAGAGAGCAGAAGGAAGTTTGTCGAGCATCCATCACCCACTGCCCCTACAGTTCCTAAAATCATCAGGAGAATATCATACCAATCAGCAAATCTAAACAATCCCTTCACACTTCCCTCCTTCTCCACCTTAGAAGAGCTCATACGTCCCTTCATCTCCTACAGGTTAAAGTTACAGAGAAACCGGGGCACTTCATTCATCATCCAAACATCTAGCTATATATAAGAGTCGTTGAAGAGTCAGCATTGGACTCAATTCTGATAAAAGTCGGTCATGGAAAGCAAAGGGACGCCCCTGTTGCATTACTCTCCATAGCTTTATGTCATGAGGGCTATTTAGTGACAAACTTTATTGTATTATGGTGGTTGCTTTTCACTCAAAATACAAAAAGTAATGAAAATGAAAATATCCCTTTGTGAAGCTCCCAATAAAGTTATAGCCCATAGCTACTCATCACTACTAAACCCTTTCCTTTTCTGGTCATACAGGGCCTCTAGAAAACTGTTTTTTTTTTGTTGGATATTACTCATCATCCTTCTATTTGGTTGAATGTGTGTAACATTCATCGCACATCACTTGGTCGCAATCACAAATTAATGTTATGTACAAAGTGACTTTGGCGTTTGGCATTAAGGGTTTGTTTGGATTGGTTTAAAATGCATGAGAGCCTAACTGATGGAGCATTGTTAATTAATTAGTAGAGGCTTTTCCCAGCCCTACCTTAGTAAAATAATTGGTATCTGTGCAAAGTGAGAATTGTTCTCACCTAAAAGTGATTAGTTTCACAATTCTAACATGCTATCCGAAGGAAATTTATCGCCTCCAAATGTCATGTTAGAGATCCAATAGACTGATAAGAAATTCTTAATCAAAGTGAAGAGTCTATTAGATGTAATTTTTAATTAATTTAATAAGTTAATCTTTATTGACTAACATGTTCTTAATTATAATTATATATCAGAGCAATTATTCATTCATTAGAAGCAACTTAATCCTTTATCAGGCAGACAAGGAAGTGTACCTGATATATATTATGAATGTTTCACTCTTTACAAGCAAAATTTTGGGACACCCCACTTTGAATCTTTTATGTGCACTAGTAGGATTTTTATTTCTTTGGATGTGGTGCGGTTTTTTTTCTTTTTTTTTTTTTTTTTTTTTTTTTTTTTTTTTTTGGGGGGGGGGGGGGCTTGTGGGTGCATAAGTATCTCACTGTTCTCATGAAAAAAAAAAAACTAAGTGAAACATTCAATAAACTACAAAAGTATGCCAAACAAACAACAAGGCGGCGGGGGGGGGGGGCGAAGGGAGAACTAACATGGATATAAGACTGAACCGGCAAAAAATGACAAAATTATACGCAACGGATAGAGACACGCCTCTCCAAAAGAAAAATTCAGGAGAAACAAATACGAAGTACTAGGGCTGAGCATGGTTCGGTTCAAACCGAAAAAACCGACCGAACCGACCCGAACCGACACGAAAAAAGCGGTTTTAAGAGTAAGACGGTTCGGGTCGGGTTTACAACTTTTTAAACCGACCCGACCCGAACCGACCGAATATATTCCCAAAACTTTCAAACTCGTTCGCTTTTACCCGACCCGTCCCAAACCCTCAACCCTAACTTCATTTCCTCTCATTCCCAAATCACAACCGCCGCTACTCATTCCCAATTTCCCATTTCCCTCGGCCTCAATCCCTCTCTCTCGCTCTCTCTTCTTCCAAGACCCGTCCTCTCCATCTGCGTCGCCGCCCTCCTGTCCGACCCCCACCCCCACCTCCACCTAGCCCTCAACTTCAAGCTGTGGAGCCCCTCTGAGAAGCTCAATTCTTGCTTCGAGAGCATTCCAGTCTCCTCTTTTCCTCCGGCTCCTTCCTCTCAAGATACGTAGTATTAATTTTTCTTCAATTTCCTCTGTTGTTGTCTTTGAATTGAACATGAAGTAGGTGGAATGGGCGCTTCTTGTTGGAGTATGTTAGTGCCCTTTGAGTTGGATTTTCCCCATTTAATCACTCAATTCAGCACTTCTGTGTATGTTGTCCCTTGGGTTAGTTGTTGATTCAAGTGTGCACAACGCTTAAATATCTTAGCCGTGGCTCAAATGATTTGCATTTGGGCGCATATGAAAACAAATATATACAAATTATCTCTTGGGATAAGCAATATTTGTGCATTTGATTGTTATACTTGATGAAAGTTAGAACCGAACAAACCGAACCGAACCGCACCGAACCGATTTGCAACGGTTCGGTTCGGTTTTGAATTATAGGTGGTTCGGTTCGGTTATTCAAATTTTGGTAAAAACCGACCCGAACCGAACCGTGCTCACCCCTACGAAGTACACCCGAAAAATAAAATTACAGCCAGGATGTGTGAGGTTCAATTTAGTGACCCTCCATGACATTGTCCTGCTCACTCTCCACTCCAAAGATGAAATGTCTGACCCACTCCTATGAGCCAGCATGCAAAAGAGCTGGTCTGCACGCTCTCTCGCCTCCTTGAAGACAAAAAGGACAAAAATATATTGTTAGCGATAGTTTGGTGATATATGAGACAATAAAATTGTCGACTATTATTAAATATTTTATTATAACTCTGAAGTCCCAAATCATCAGAGTCCTTCCAAATCCCGATCAAAAAGATTTCCAACTGTTTTAGGAATAAAGACATTGATTGTTTACGCTTGCTTTTTCATAACACACACGTGCTAGATGCTTGCCACTTGCACTTTGAAGGTTGTCCCTAGTGGGATTGGTATTTGCCACAGAAAAAACTCACATTTTAAATGGGATTCAAGTATTTCAAATGTGCTTGGTACAAGGACATCTTAGACTTCCATTATTAAGGAAAGTGTAGGTTCAACTAACCTCGAATACTCCATTACACCAAGGCCAAAGAGGCCTGTCATTAAGGGTAAATAGTTCTGGCCGAACCAAGTGTAATTTGTTGTAAAATTCTTTTCTCCCTCCCAATTGCATCTGATGCATCAGTGTTGACAGTCCATCCGCATCTCATTCTGAAAGATGCTACCGACCCCTTTTCTATTAAGTGTCCAAGGGGAAAAAAAGGGGATTCCCGTAAAAGCGTCACGCCATCTACCATTTCAAAATTTAATTGTAGATCCATCCCCTATAGCAAGGGAAATTCAGAAGATGGTAGTTTCTAGTTATACATATCTGGTTTTTTTGTTATGTTCTCCATCGATCTTTGCCCTTATCTTTTTACCGTATATTTGACACGCTTAGACATACACAGTTTTCTTTCCTCAAAGAACTTTGACATCTACAGATTGAATGTCCAATCTAAATAAACGTATAGATTATGCGCCTGATTACATGGTTCCTGGCTAAAACATCATTAAAACTCTGCAACTTCCATCTTTTAAGGATATCATGCTCCTCACCAAGCTCAATTCAACTTTGTTTTGAAACTTCTATTGTAAATTACAAAGCACTTTTCATCCTTCAGGAACCCAATGAGATCTCTCTGACTTCTTAGTATCAAGTATTCATTTCTTTCCTCCAGGGGACTATTGGACGCCCATGATTCATTAATCACCATTTTCTGTTAAGACTGATAAAAATGTGTCCCAGAAGGTTGTCAGCCCTGGAGTCCTGTTGAATAATGAACTCTTGAATGACTGTACTCTGTCACCTGATTTCTCATCTCATTGGTGCTGTACATAATGTCCACCCAACGGGATAGTGACAATTCGACGCTACCAAAAACTAATGTTGCTTGTCGGTTCTCAGTTATGCATCTGACTCGTCAAAATATATGTAGGCTAACTTGGTGAATCTTGTTACTATGCTGCCTTCTCAACTAATATTCTTTCGCAAGCATGATGACCGATCAAACCAACCACTACAATCCAAAACAAAGAGAACTCACAATCAAATTCTACTCTTTTGTCTATGGAGTCTAAGACTGCATTTAGAATTTTATACGTTTAATATGTACTATGTAGTTAACCAAAAGCCTTCAGTGAGGCCCTCATCACCTTAATAACCATTCATTCTTCAAAGTTTAGAAACGAAAGATCTCTTTTATCCGTTTCATTGTTTTATCCATCTAATAAAAAAGGGCTTAAAGGGAACTGATCCATCTAACTTGAGTTGTTTGGCTGCCTTAACATTAAATAGATTAAAGGGTCAGTTGTGTGTGCATTAATTCTAGCAATTAGATGGAACTGACACCAATTGAACACACTCGTAGTATGTGAGACACACCGGGAGATCCCTAACTGTGTTGTTGTAATTCATGCCCGGTTCTTGGACTACAAATCAAAAATTTGAGAAACGTAACTGAATTATCTTAGGAGACAAACTGATTGATAGGAGAAAATATTGCCAAAGGAAAGAGAAAGTTCAAATTTATTCATTGAAATGCTCCGCCCCTGCCATCTTTCCTTTGTCTTACTACTGTACACCCTGTTTTCTAAAAAGATCAACTAGGAAGTCCAATGTCTGAAAACCTCACAGATGAACACATTAGCTCCCCAGGCTTCATCATGTTTTTCGTTGCAATATCCTTAGGATGATCTAGCTTAAACCATCCTATGACTCAAAAGACGGTGCCTTAACTGTGTGGGCGGCTACATATTGTGCTGGTGGTTTTCGCTATCATCATGTGGGTTAAATGGAAGAGCAGGCATAAATGGTCATATTCGTGAAAAAAACGTTGTATGAATAAATTAATCTTTTGATAGTTATTGATACCAGCATTAGCTTTTCTAATGACAGAAAAAAGAATGTAACCAATTACAAAATGTGGTCAAAACAAGTCAAAGTATTGTTGGATTTGGGTGTAGATCCATACCTCCATCATGCGAAATCATGAAGCAGGCGACGTCGATGGAATCGCAGACAAGCTCCGACTCTGGCGAAGTCGAGCTTGAAGGAAACAGGCGAAAATTGGGGCTTCGACTGGCGAGCTCGAGCAGAGCAACGTCAGGCGAGATCAGAGTCGACAGGCGGATCGACGACTTCAGGCGAAGTTGAGATGGCTGATGGCGAGCTCGTGAATTGGTTGCGGGCGAGTTTCGAAGACGGGCGATTTTGAGCTCGACAGGCGGATTTGAGCTCGCGTCGACTTCCAGGCGATTTCGATCGGGTGAAGGCGAGCTCGACGCGGGCGCTTGTTGCAGACGAGTTCTGGGGTTCGCCTTCCCCTCTTCTGGTCGCCTGTGCCTGAATTGGATCCAGCTGGATCCCATTTGCTTTTAGCCCTAGGGTTTCCCTATTTAAAGGAACCCTGTGAACGAAAAGCGTCTGTCCCCGTTTTCTCTTCTTCTAATCTCATTCA